ATGTCAGTTATGGTCTCTTTGGGGTATATTCCCAGTAGTGGAATTGCTGGGTCAAATGGTATCTCTATTTGCAACTTTTTGAGAACGTGCCATACCACCTTCCATAGTGGTTGAACCGGACAATCTATTCTTATGCAATTTGTGGCTTCTGAAAACCTGCTGGAGGGTCAGCTATGGGTCAGTTTCAACACCTTAGTAAACAATAACAACAAGCCTGCCTCACTGCCCAAGAGAGTCCTAGTGGTGTTTTCCACTAAGAGAGAAAATAACTCCTTGCTGTAGAGTTGGCCTAATTCATACCAGACCCTCCCAGATTGGGGGTTGGAGGCTGTAAATCACATGACAGAAAATTGCCCGTCTTTCTCCCTCAAGGTTGCTGGTAGGTTTGAACCTTCAGAGAGTCTCTGCCTTTCAGGTAGCAGGAGGACGCCTTACAGACTACACCAGAAGAACCTCCTCCTATCATGGTATATAAAGAAAAGGTAAGTCTGTCCATTCTGATTTTAAAGGAAGGCAGACAGGCTTCCCGAGACTGCAAGCCCGCCAATGGCAGTGATCTGGGTCATTTTCCGACGTTGACACTCAGCGCCCGACACATTATTCAGCATATTCTCAACGTGTCCTGATCGACGAGGTAACCTGATTGGCTACAGGTAATCTCAGCAAAATGGAACAAAAACACGCACTAAGATACATAACAACTTGTGAAGACTGAGTTAGGTCCCTAAATAAGAAGATACATTTCTTTTTCTTTTTTTTTCCTGTATTCAGTTCCTATATGGAGAGGGAGGGAATCAGAAAATTAAAGATTTTTTAAATAAAATAACACAAACATGCATTCTTACTAGGTATAAAATGTGTTAGGCATTTAAATTGAACACAGTTTCCTAATAACTAACACTTCTCAATAGTTTTGCCTTCAAGTCACAATTGTACAAGAATATGTGAGCAGAGAAAACAAAATCTATCACTGACACCTTGCCTTTGGGAAAATTCCTTTATGTTTACGCTGGGATTTAATATACTGAGGGAAATACACCGTACTTATTGTGGGCTTTGAATCCCTCAAGGAGAGTTAAAACAAAACAAAACCCACCAGAACAAACTCTCATTGCCGCCGCCTTCTTTTTTTTTTAAATAAATCTATTTTTTAAAACTGTGATTTTTTTTCCATATGAATCAGGGTGAAATCTCTCAGGGAGGAGTGATAGGGAATGGCAAAGGAAACACTGACAAAGGAGATTAATCAGAACTGGTTTTGACAACCACTGTGGCAGTTGGTCACTTAAAACAGACTTTGAAGGGGAAAAAAAAGAGAGGAACAAACTGAGGGCGGTAGAGAAAATAGTGCAACAATGAATAAATGGAAAGCATAAATCTCTGTAAATGTTCATTAAAATTAATAAAATGAAAACAAACAAAATCTAACTGTGATTTTTTAACCAACATTTCTAGAAAGATTGGGTTTTCATTCATTCATTGCTGCACATTTTCCTCCCTCCCCCTCCTTTCATCCTGCCCAGCTCCACTTTAAAATGCACCTCTTATTCCAGATTGTCACATGTTGGTGGTGGTGTTATGTGCAGTCAAGTCTCTTGTGACTCACAGCACCCCTATGTACAACAGCCATGAAACCTGCTCTAGCCTGTGCCAGCTTTACTGTCTCTGACACATCTACCCTCATTACCCTAGTCACTGTATCAATCCATCTAATTGATGATCTCCCTCTCTTTCTCTGTCCCTTCACGCTTCCAACCATGATGTCCCTCTCGAAGGACCGGTCCCTCTTTGCCACATGCCCAAAAGTATATCAGACGAAGCTTTAGAATTCTTGCCTTCAAGGAGCGGTCTGGCTTCACCCTATGATGAACCTGTTTGTTCTCCTAGCAGTCCATGGTATATTCAATACTCTTCTCCAGCACCACAGCTCAAAGGCATCAATACTCTTTCCGTCATCTCTAGTCATTGTGCAGCTCTCTGATGGATAGCAAGTAATTGAGAAGACTATGGCCTGAATCAGGAGCACATTAGTCTCCAGACTGACATCATTGCTCTTCAATATTCTGGAGAGGTCCCTGACAGCTGACTTTCCCAGTGCAATTCATCTCTTGATTTCCTGGCTTCTGGTACCAAGAGTGTTGATTGTGGAACCAAGTAAACTGAAGCTGTTAACAATCTCAATCTTTTCCCCACCTGTTATAATGCTGCCAATTGGCCCAGTGTTGAGAATCTTTTTTTTCTTGATATTGAGCTTCAATCCATTTGAAGGCTTCCATTCTTAACTCTGCAGCAAGCACTTCAGGGCCTCCTCAGTTTCAGCAAACAGAGTTGTGCCATCTGCATAACGCAGGTTGTTGATTCTTCCTCCAAATCATGATGCCACATTCCTTGTCGTACAGCCCAGCATCTCGGATGATCTGCTCTGCATACAGATTGAAAAGGTGTGGAGACAGACTACATCCCTGGCATACATCCTTCCCAATTTTGAACCATGCACTGTTCCTTTGCTCTCTTCTAACGACTGCTTCCTGGTCCAAGTATAGGTTTCACATTAGCACAATCAAATGTTCTGGGATTCCCATTCTTCTCAGAGTCAGCCACAGTTTGTTGTGATCCACACAGTCAAATGCCTTTGTATAGTCAATGAAATACAGATAGACATTTCTCTGATACTCTCTGCCTTCTGCCATGTAACATTAGCTATATTATCCCTAGTAACACAGCCTCTTCTAAACCCAGTCTGCATATCTGGCAGTTCTCTGTTGATGTACTGCTCCAGTCGTTATTCTCAGCAGAATCCTGCTTGCATGTGATATTAATGATATTGCCTGATAATTTCCACAGTTTGAAGGGTCACCTTTTTTTGGAACGGAAACAAATATAGATCTCTTCCAGTCAGTTGACCAGGTGATTGTCCTCCAGATTTCTTGGCAAAACTTAGCATGCAGGGCACCATCTGTTGTTGAAATGTATCAATTGATACGCCATACATTCCTGGCATTTTGTTTTTTGCCGATTCTTTCAGAGCAGCTTGAACTTTTTCCTTCATCACCACAGGCTCTTGCTCATGCATTGTTTTATGAAATTCTTCTGTGTCAGACAATTCCTTCTGGTACAGTGTCTGTATACTCCTTTCATCTTCTTTTAATGCTTTTTGGATCATTTAATATTCTGTCCAAAGCATCTTTAAGCATTTCAATGCTTAATTTGGCTTGAATTTGTTTTTCAGTTCCTTCAGGTGATGAAATGCTGAGAGAATTAAGCCCTTTTTATTTTCTGACTCCAGCTCTTTGCACATTTCATTATAATACTTGGCTTTGTCTTCCCAAGCTGCCCTTTGACGTCTTCTGTTCAGCTCCTTAATTTCTTGATTTCTTACCTTTGCATTGGCTTCTTGGTGCTGTAGTGCAATATTCAGTCTCTTCTGACATCCATCTTAGTTTTTTCTTCCTCCTCTGTAATGGCCTTTTGCATTCTTCATGGATAGTATTCTTTTTTTTTTTTCACATCAGAAGTGGTATCCACATCCCAGAGGGTGGGATGACCCGGGGAAGTGAGTGGGCGCTGCGTGTGCCATCAGCCCAAACTCCTTCCGAGGTGCACGTGTTTTTAATTTTTTTTAGTTGTGATTCACATAAATGTTTACAAAGCATGTTGTTTTTTTAATTGATCATGCACAATGGATAGTATTCTTGATATCCTCCCACAGCTCATTTGGTCTTCAGTCAAAGCCCTAAACCTGTTCCTGAGATGGTTTTGAAATTCAGGTGGGATAGACTTAAGTTCAAATTTTAGTTCCTGTGGATTTGATTTAATTTTCTTCAACTTCAGCTTTAACTCGTATATGAGTAGTTGATGGTCTGTTCCACAATCAGCATCTGGCCTAGTTTTCACAGCTGATAATGAGCTTCTCCAGCAATTCTTTCCACAGATGTAACAGATTTGATTCCTATGTAGAACATCAGGTGAAATCCATGTGTAAGCTTGTGTTTGTGTTTTCTTGTAAAAGGTATTTGCAATGAATAAATCATTGTTTATACAGAATTCTATCAGTTTATCTCCAG